CAATTAAGCCCTTGATATATACTGTTTATTTTAATTCTAACCCTTATTTTAATCAGAACCCTTGTGCATTGCTGGTGGGAACGAAAAATAGTACAGCAGCTGTGAAAAACAGTTTCTAACCCTCCAAAGTAAGCTTCACTATTGCCCCTGTCTTAAGGCTACGTTATAACAAGGCTCAAAGAAACTGGATAAACCAGCCCAAGGCCTCTCAGCCCAGATTCCTAACCAATAGACTTATCTTGACTCCAAAGCCTGTATTTTACACTACTTCCCACTATATGTACTTTTCCCCCTTGCCCTTGTTTAGAGAATTGGCCCATCACTACTATAAATGCAATGATGGGAACAGGGACTTCAGGTAAGCATTCTGCAAAGTAGAAAACATAAATAGTTTGTTCAAATTACTACTTTTAACTGTCAGCCTCTTTGGGAAAAGAATTACAAGATTATCCAAGAATGCATATAATAGAACACTGACAAATAAAATCCTTCGCAGGGTACATGTGGGTGGTGATATTTGGTCTTTTGAGTTACATTTATTTCACTTTTTAATTGACACATATGTAATTATACATATTATCAGCCCTCAAATATTTAATTAACAAATAGCTAATTATACATATTTACAGGGTACAATTTGATGTTTTGATACATATATGCTGAATAATGATCCAATCAGGGTCATTAGCATATACATCACCTCATTCCTTTGTGGTGAGAACATTCAAAAGCCTCCCGTCTAGGTATTTTATAATATACAATACCTTACTGTTAACCAATAGTCACCCTATTGTGCAATAAAACACCAGAACTTATTCCTCCTATCTAATTGTACTTTGTACCCATTGACCAACCTCTCCCCAGTCTCTGGTAACCACTGTTCTACTCCCTGCTTCTATGACAGTAACTCTTTTTCCTTTAGATTCCACAACGGAGTGAGATCACGTGGTATTTGTCTGTGTCTGGCTTCTTTCACTTAACACGATGTCTCTAGATTCATCCATGTTGTTGCAAACGACAGGATTTCATTCCTTTTATGGCTGAATAGTATTCCATTGTGTATATATACATTTCTTTACCCATTTTTCTGTTGTTGGACACTTTTATATAAGATATGATTCTATACCTTGGCTATTATAAATAATGGTACAACAAACATGAGAGTGCAGATATTTCTTCAACATACTGATTTTCCTTTGGATATACACACAGTAGTGGGATTGCTGGATCGTATGATAGTTTTATTGTTATTTTCTGAGGAACCTCCATACTGTTTTCTATAACAGCTGTTCTAATTTACAATCCCACCAACAGTGGGAGAGTGTTCCCTTTTCCCCCACATCCTCACCAACACTTGCCTTCCTTTGTCTTTTTGGCAACAGCCATTCTAACCAGAGTGACATGGTATCTCATAGTTTTGATTTGCATTTCCCTGATGATTAGTGATGTTGAGCATTTTCCATATACCTGTTGGTCATTTGTACGTCTTCTTTTGAGAAATGTCTATTAAGGCCCACTTTTTAATCAGGTTATTATTAGTTTTTCTGCTGCTAAGTTCCTTATTAACCCACTCACTTTAACTGCTTCAGAGAGCTGTGCTCTGTGCGCTGCCTCCCACATGCTAACTTCTCCACTCTTTGTTCTCCCAGAGCAGCCTGAACTTTTGTAAGAAATATTCCCATGGGCTGGAGACTGTAACAAATGAACACTGTATAAGTTTACTTCCCTTCCAGCATAGCAAAATCACTTCTGTCAGCAGAGCTTTGGAAACATCTCCTAATACTGAATTCTGCTACACCATGTTCTACCCTGAGGAAAAGGTAGCCATGTCCCAGGACTACCCGCACACCAGAAGGTGGTAACAGTTGGTCACATCTGTGCCTGCCCTTTCTGGCCACCTGCGAAGTCAGTGCCATGATCCTTCCCTCCTAAAAGAGGGAGCCACAAAAAAGGACCAGAGGAGGAGGACTGTGTTTCCCACTCACCCCCCACTCCAACTTTCCACAGTGGTCAGGACTTCCAGGTAAACAGGAAGCTGAGAAAGACAGGGATGTTCCTGTTCCAGGCTATCAGCTCAGCCTCAGTCCGAAAAGCTGGGCCTCTTTCCCCACCCAACTTTTAAGAAAAAAGTGGGATCCATCATTCATGCATGTAAGTCATCCATCTATTCATCCTACAAATGAGCAAATATTATGTGCTAGGCACCCTCACAGAACATGCAATTTAGTAGGGGGAAACAATGAAGAAAATATACAAGCATATTGTATATTAGAAAGAAAGAATTATGAAGAAAAATAAAACTGGCGATGGGTATGGGGGGGAGGAGAGAGGGAGGGAGAGGGAGGGAGAGTGTGTGTACATGTGTGTGTAAGTAGCAGAGCAAATTATAATCCTCAGTGAAACAAGCTCATATTTCTGAGGTTGAGCAGTTCACACTACTTTAACCACCAGAACTCATATGTTTAAACTCCTATCTAATAGCAAATTCAGCATCTCATTAAAAGAAAAGAGACACATTTTAATTTCTGCTCTCTTACATTTTATTTCCAATCCCTCTTAGGCCACCTCTGCTTGCCTCCTTCCAAACAAAAGTTTAGAACCAGCCAGAACATTTATCAATTTAGCCCCCGTTATTTTCATAAACTCAATCTAAGTTTTAAACTCTTAAATATAATGCTAAAAATCTCCCAAATTAGAATTCTACATTTTTAGAAAACTGACACCATCCCATGTCCCATGGGTCTTGACTTTACAACATTCCTAAGGGCCCCATGAAGACCAGCCCGACAGGGGATGTGTTAAGTCACGGTTGCTCAGTCCGCACAGCCAGGCCACCTGTTTCCCAGCTAATGCCGGAAGGTGAAGCCTCCAGCTGCAGAAGAGATTTTATCCTTTCCTAGTCAACAGGGTCTCCAAGAAATAAAGCAAGTGTCCTGTCTTTCTGTGGGCTTTTCCCTCCTTTTTGGTTGATCTTGTTGCCTTTAAGAAGAAAATTCTGCACATCCACAGTAAGCCCAAATCAAAGTAAATACCAAGGCACACCAAAGCCACTGGCACAATGACAACCTGATACCTGCTTGTTTTGGGACTGCAACAGAGAGGGGACCACGTCGTGTTGAGCTCATCGCATACAGACTCTGGACAACAGAGTCAGAAAGTCTCCAGAAGGAACGTGGGCCTGAAGCTCAACCAGGAATCACATGGGCACCTTTGCCCTTGGAGTCACACACACTCACTATACCCATCACCAGTTTTATTTTTCTTCATAATTCTTTCTTACTTTCTAATATACAATATACTTGTGCATTTTCTTGTTTCCCCCTACTAAATTGCGTGTTCTATGAGGGTGCCTAGCACATAATATATGCCCATCTCCCCTGCTAGATGGTGAACACCCTGAAGGCAGCAGGCCTCACCCCTGCTCTCAGGAGTCTTCCCCACAGCAGCTGCAGGGAACTAAGTGAATGAATGAAAACACCTGCCAGACAAACTGTCCTCACAGTTCTCACTTCAGAAATCTTCACGCCCCATCCTCACTCCCCACTAGAAGAGACCATTATAGATGAGGAAACTCTGCTTCACATGTCAGAACTTAAGATACACCACCCTCAAAGAATGGAGGGACAAACCCCTCTCCAACCCCTTGGCTTTGGATGCCCCTCACAGGACGACATGAACTTCCACTTCCCAGAGCCCGGGTCACCACTGTGCTGGTCAGAAGCCCAAGAGCCCTACGGCCTCCTGCTCCTACACAAACTCCCTCCTGCAAGCTCAAAACAACTCCTGTAGCAGGCGCACAAGCTGCCCAAGCTATCCCCGCAGCTCACCAGGACCACTGGTCTCCCAACCACCCTACCTATGCTCTCCACCCAAGACCCCCAATCCTTGGGTCTCAGTGAAGTCCTCCCTTCTCTAACAAACCCAACAGCCAGCTTTCTCGGAGGTTAAAGTCCAGCAAAGGCAATTCCCTTTGCACTTGGTTCTGCTGTTTCAGGGCACATTGATACGGTACCCGCCAGACTCCGCCTCAGGAAGGGCCTTCCCCACACTGGCCAGAGAGCAGAAAAAGTCGCCAACAATTAATCTGGGGATCTCCGTCTTTTGACCTAGCTGGCCTCTGTCTTCTCAGTAGAACGAGAGACGACACAGGAAGCTGTAAGGTCCCTTTAATCCAGATTCTAAAATTGGGAAATTTGATATAGGCCCCGTAGATACAGCTGAAAATGGTTAATAAATTGTCCCATCGCCGACCTGTTTGAACAGGTGTCTCAGATAATGCAAGCTGGCCTCAATTTCAAAGAGCTTTCAATCATAACTTTTAGAAAAAAAAAATGCTTTCTTTTTCATCAACTTCACAAGCCTGAGTTGTTTTCCTAACATTCCTTGGAAGACACTGAAAGGAGGGGGAAAAAACTGACTTGCTCAATTTTGCTACTAAGATCACGAGCTTGGGCTTCGCACTGCCTCGGTTTCCCCTCCGGGAGCGGAGACAGTCCCAGGCCCACACGCCGGACAGTCGCTGATCCCCGGGACCTCCCGAGCTGTGCTCCGCCGTGGACTGGCCGCGTGTCCCCAGCCGCTACACCACCTGGAGCCTCAGGCGCATCCAGATGGCCAAGTCCAGGCTGGCCCAGGCGCACCCCGCTGTCACCTGGCCCCGCTTAGCAGCCCGCGCTGCTCTCAGAGCGGCCCCGCTCCCTCCAATGACGCTCCAGCCGGCGTTTCTCCTTCGATTTCCGAGCCAAATCTGGCCTCCAGGTGCTCACCCGGCCAGGTGGCGAAGGCACCTGCCTCGCCAGGGAAAATACACGAGCCCGCCAGTCCCTCTGCTACGACCTCGACGGGAGCTCGTAAGAGAAATGCAGAAGAAAGGAAAACAAGCCCTAGACCGGGCCGTCCTGGCCCCGCGTCTCCCAAGAAATCGCCACCTGCGACGCAGCCCCGGGCTGGGGGCCGCGGGCCCGGCGGGAAGCGAGGCCCGGGCCCGGCGCGCCCCTTACCGGTGAGGCGGCCGCCCCCCTCGCCGTGCCCGCGGCGCCGCTGCAGAATGAAGTAGCAGCTGCTCTTCTGGGTCACCCAGAGCTTCAGGGCGTTCTTCAGCAGCACCTCCTCAGGCTTGAGCCACATCGCGGCGGTCCGGCCGCGCCCGCGGGCCCCGGCTCACATCGCCCCGGCCGCCAGCCGCGCCGGGCCGAGACCGCTCGAGAAGAGGCGGCGGCGGCGGCTGCTGCGCGCGGGGACCGCAGCCCAGCCGGTGCCCAGCGCTCGCAAAGCCGGGGGAGCGCAGCGGGCGCAGTTCGCCCCGCGCACCCAGCGCAGCCGCGCGTGGCCCCGCCCCGAGCCCGCCCCCAGGGCCGCCTGGGCCCCGCCCCCGCCGCCACGCCCCGCCCCGCTGGCCCCCGCGGCGCCTCCCGGGTTTCCGCGTCCCAGCAGCTCGGCGCACAGTTCCGGAGCGGAGGGAGGAAGTTCAATCCTGCTGCCAGATTCCCTCCCCGCCTCCCCGCCGCGCTCCCGGGGCGCGCCGTGGCTCTTCTCCTCCCCCGTGCCTCCGGGAGGGACCCCGGGAGAGCAGTTGTTCCCCGCACCGCGCTCGTGCCGAGAGGCTGGGGAAGGACGCAGGGAAAAGGACCCCTTGTCCTCGCAGCCGCAGGTAGCCCCAGCGGGGGCATTTATCTTAGGGGGAACACAATGCACGCCGGAAAAGCCAAGTGAGTTTGGGTTTAAAATAACAACAACAAAATTTTTTTACAAATAACCAAAAAATAGCATAAAAATACAAAAACAATTATGTTCGGATCCTTTAGTGCACGCTTTCGAAGCTCTCACAAAAGGGATCCAGCCGAGCTGCTGAAGAGGCAGGTCTCAGACCAAACTCAACGCTCCGGACGTCCCTGGAGGAGCAGAGAGGGTACCCATGTTAGGACCACCCCTGTGGGTTCCCTACCTAGAAACCAGTCACTGAGAACAATTGGAAAAGCTGGAAAATGCGGAGTGGTGATAATGAAGAAAAGCTACCCAGAGAATGTGGAGGTGACGGAGCTGGCCTTGAACAGGCTGGGGCCTCCGAGCGGTCTCCACAGGGAGGCTTAAGTTAAATCCAACACCCGAGGAAAAGAAAAACCTCATCAAAACATTCCTGGGGGTTCGACAGAGGGATTCCTGATAAAATGTGACTGTTAACTAGGACAGAACTGAAAGGTAAAGTAAATCCTCCCCCCACACACACACCCCCCGGGACGCCTAGGAACTGAGTGAAGCGTCTTCAGGGAAGCCAAGCAGCCTTTTTGCAGAGGATCTGAAGGGATCAGCTCAAAAATCCTGACCAGACCTGGCAGACAAGAACCCTGTGGGACGGGAACAGATGGGAACACCCACCCTCAGGCAGGGGCGGTGGTGGTCTAGGACTGGCAGCGCACTGACAAATGTCCTCTGCATAAAACTGAGGAAGGAAGTCAGCCATTGGGGCGGGGAGTGTTGGGGTGCACCAGAGCATACAGAGTGGTCAGGGGTGGTAAGAACAGAACATATTCTTTCCAGAAACATTCACTGGCACCTCCTGCTCTCAGACAGACTGCCACAGGCCCTGGAATTGCGGAGATGGGTGGGAGATGGGCCTGCCCTAAAGAACTCACAGGTAGACACAGAAAAGCGTAGTGGGCATCATAATGGGGGTGTACACAGGGGGCAGTGAGGATGCACCAACTGCATGGTCAATTTTTGGGAGAGAGGACTGAGAAAGCCCCGCAGAGCAGCTATGGCTCAACCAGAATTTGAAAGTGAATATGGGTTTAACACAGGTCAAGTAGGGGAAGGCATGTCTGGTAAATGGGTCAGCATGTATGACATTGTGGTTTAGGGCAGCCTCTGGAGGCTGACAGCCCTGGATCAAATCCCACTGCTGCTGCTAGTTAGCAACCTTGACCTTGGGCAAGATAGACTCTCATTGAGCCTCAGTTAACTATAAAATTGAGGTAACCATAGTACCTCCCTTATAGGAACTGTCCAGGGTACACTATATTTAAGTACTTGGGACATCAGCTATTATTACCAAATGTACAAAAACTCCCAAACAATCCACATACACACCCATATTTTAAACAGTATTAAGCTCTTATCTGCCAAATATTAAATAGGACAGAGTGATGGAAATGGTATCAAAGTAGTTGGGAAGGATACTTTGTGGTACTGTGGCCTGACCTCTCTCCCTATGCCCATGCCTCTTATTAGCCAAGTCAAGGAAAAGCCAACAGAAGGACAGCGGGCTCGGGGTGCAGCCTGCAAAGGTCAGTCTCCCAGACACCGAGCAAGGTGCATAAAGGGGATCTGGAGTGGCCGGAGGAAACTATTTATCACAGGTGCTGTCACTCAGCTCTGAGTGCTCATCACCTGGATGGTGCCATGGGTTGAATTGTGTCTCCCCAAATTCCTATGTTGAGGTCCTAACCCCCAGTCCCTCAGAATGTGACCTTATTTGGAAATAGGATAATTGCAGATGTAATTAGTTAAGATGAGGCTATTAGGGTGGATCCTAATCCAGTATGACTGGTATCCTTTTAAAAAGAGGAAACTTGAACAGACACAGAGAACACCATGTGAAGATTGGAGTTACGCTGCTACAAGCCAAGGAACTTCCAGAAGCTAGGAGGGAGGCCTGGAACAGATCCTTCCCAACCAACACCTTGATCTTGGACTTCTAGCCTCCAGAACTGAGATAATAAATTTCTGTTGTTTAAGACAGCTAGCTTGTGGTACTTTGTTATGGCTGCCCTAGCAAATTAACATAGTTGCTTCCCTAATCCTGCCCACAGCTGTTCGGCAGCAAGGGTCTTCAGTCATTCTGAGATAGATTCTGTTTCCTGCCAGGACCCTGACCTCTCTCTCTTCCTTCCAAGAGCGACCCAAGGAAACACAGTCCTCAAGATGGAACTCTGGCTGGGTTACTCACATGTTTGTGCACACGTGGGGAACAAAAGGGATACTAGTAACCCATGGCATGCAGCGGCAGCAGGGTTACTCCAATTAGCACTGGTAGTGGGGTGAGGGGCAGATGGAGGCCAAGGCTTTGGGGGCTCTTGCTGCTGTTGCACTTGATTGCTATGGCAACAGGGATAATTATAAAGATCATAGAGTGAGATGGTTGTTTCTGACAGCCCTAAAGAGTTTACCAAAAGGAAAAAAAAAAAAAAATAAGCAGAACAAGATACAAATATGCTGAAATTCAAAGAACCTCTTACCTGGGATAGCCACGGGACAGACAAGGCTCCTAAATGTATTTAATAATTGTGCAGGTTACAGAATTGTTGCAAAGGTCAACCTCAGCAAGTTCTCTTGCTAAGATCAGGATAGTGATTGGGTAGGAGCAGGACCATAGGCTTGTGATGGGAGCATCTGGACAGACACAGAGAAAGCCGAACTCCCAAACCCCAAGCCTCCCATGCCTGCAAAAGCAGCCCCCCCTCCCTGTATGAGGAAATTAGCCTTCACTTACACAACGTCCTTTCAAGACTTCACTGGGCCTTTGCCTCCCATGTGGAATCCTTTACTCCTTAAAACCTACTGCCATTGCACCTCTCAACTCCAGAACCATAACAAGAATAAACTCCCAGCAGAGCCCAGAAGAACTGCAAGATCAGCAGGGAAGGGAGGATAGAATAGATTATATAGCAAGGGATGTGGAAATCTTGCCTATGTATGTTGGGAAGGAGCTGAGATCATGTATGGGAAAGGATTCTAGGGTATTAGACCAAGGAGGATGAAATATAAGATTTGATTCATAAAAATGTATGAATATGCATATACTCCCCTGGGATTCATGATTTAATGCATTCTATATTGAGGTGATGAAAATGTTTTTGAAAATGTGATACTTGTATATACAGAAAACCACCAAACACTTTAAAAGGTAACTTGTAGAAAACGGATAGTAATGCAAATGACTCTTGTCCAAAGCAATGCGAATAAACTTTGGTCCACAGAGATACTCCCTATAGACTATTAATCAGTTTTGTATCTATTAACAAATTCACTCCAGCATTCATGACTAATATCCATATCTATGCCTGTATATCTATTCTTCAAATTCTCCTTTGAACTAGTCTTAACATCTTACTGGTTCCTTCACTAATGAAGGAGTTGAATAAAATCTTTGATCCATGTTCATTTTATATTTACAATGAGAGTCACACTTTTAACTTTTTGAAAATTATACTTTACCAGTAAGAAAAAAGGGAGCATGACTGGCAGGATGCTGAAAGTATTTTGTTGTAATTGAAAGACGGAAAGAGGAGAGATAAAGGACCTTTAAGGATACTTTTGCTCCCTCACCTAGGCTACAAATACCTCATCAAACATACTCCCTGGCACCAAGAAAAGGTGCTAGTCCCTTAGCCTGAGGCCCTTGGCAAAGCACGTCTGGAGAAGCAGGCCTGGACTCTAGGACATGTCTTGCCCCTGAGAGCATCTAAACCCCGGTGACATCTCCCTGCTGTGGCCATTCCCTCAGAGTTCTGCCTAGCAGCCTGAGAAAGGTCTTGGGAACACAAGCACATGGCATGCCCTGCTATAGGATAATGAACGTCACTCAAAACTTCACTTCTACCACTTGCTCGTATTTACTTGTGTTTACGTGAACTGAGCTGGCAGGTGACTGGGTGAACTGGCCATGGGTTTGGTGAGAAACATCAAAAGTCTCTCCTGAAGGAGAGCAGGGAAACTGCACATACATGTCTATCCATGTGACTATTGCTTTCACTCAGGGAGGGCACTAAGTGGGACCCCCTCTCTGAACCCAGGCCCTGACTCCTAGGTCCCTGCTGCAGCAGCCCAGCCTGCCCATGTCAGCCTCCTCCCTTCATACGTACAGAAGAGGAAGAAGGAAAAAGAGAGAAATTGGAAAGAAAAATGGAATATTCTGAGAATGTTAGACCCAAGGCAAGAAAGATATGGTAAGACATTTCTGGTTTTCATTCATAATTCATACTCTTTCGTTCTTAATAGAAGTGTCACTTGTGTTAGCTACAAGCTTCCATTACTGTCCAGTTAGTTACTAAAAGTGTTAATAATTGGTTTGGTTTTTCATTGATTTTTTTTGATCTTTAAAACAATATATGCTTTTGAAATTGTTTTATTTTTTTTTTGAGACAGTCTCACTTTGTCACCTGGGCTAGAGTGCCGTGGTGTCAGCTTAGCTCACAGCAACCTCAAACTCCTGGGCTCAAGGGATCCTCCTGCCTCAGCCTCCTGAGCAGCTGGGACTACAGGCGTATGC